TATATATATATATATATATATATAAGATTACACCTTAATGCCAAAATACCATCACTTCATAATTTCATCCTATTAGACAGTTTGCCAAAATTGTCACAATTACCATATACATACTCAAGTTATGGCCAAAAACGTGTTTTGTGAGGTCACAGAAAATGAACAAACCAACACGACTGACTTTTCATATTCTATAGCACATTTCTGTGTTCTGTTCGTAACCCAAAACCCTCTGCTAACCACAGCACCACGGATGTAATGGAAACTATTGGAAATTGTGTTGGAAATGCATTTGAATTTTTGGGGTGAAGGCTGGGTTGCCACCCTACCTGAGGAAGGAACATCTTGCCAGCTCCAAAGAGATCCCCCACCACCTTCATGCCGTTCATCAGGGGGCCCTCGATGATGTGAAGGGGTCGAGTGTAGCGGTCGACTTGAGCCCGACACTCCGCCACGTCCTCCACCACATACTTGTCTATTCCCTGGCAGCAGCAACACGGGACGGAGCATTACAGAAGAAAAGGGCAAATTATGTTTGGTTTTGATACTTCGTAACAAAGAAAGACAAGGGGAAAATAGTTTAAAATGTCAGTTGTACATTCTTTTTGTTAAAGCATTTCTGAACGGTGTCCATTGACGACTGTCACAGACTTCTTACAACACGAAACCATTTTAAACTGATGTGCTCCTATAAAACACTCTTTAGAAAAGTGATTGTCCATAACTGTAAACATTTCTTCTTTACATCTTCTCAAGAATGTTGGAGCACAACAGAGTAAGACTTTGATGATGATCAGGCAGACTCCGAGCTGAGTTCACTGAAGGATCGCGTGGCCTTTGCGGAAGCTGAACTTGTGCAAATGAGAAGTAAATAGTATTAGAGAAAGTATTAAACACTCTCAATCCACATATAAACGCACACCGCCCCATAAACTGTGTCTTTAAATGAGCTGTCAGGACTTCCATGAGGTTGTTCAGCCACCTGTAGAAGTGCTGCTAAAGATACGCACAAAACAAGATCACTCGTTACGAGCTCCGCCAACTGTTTGAAATGATATACACATCCTGTCTCCTAAGTGGGCGGAGTTATTCCGTGTTCGCCTCCCCCCATGCCCCCCTATTTAAATGTCAGTCGTAGCAGTATGTGGATGCGTTCGTCATCATGAGACCATCAGATATTACCTTAATGAGAGCGTACTCCAACCTGTCCTCCACACTCCCTTCTCTCCATTCGTCTGTCTGAACCACCTTCTTCGCTCCTTTCACGTTGTTCTGTGAATAAAAGAAGTGAAGTCAGCATCTGTCGACCAAACTGAAAGGACAACGACCCGTTGTATTATTTGTGTGTTTGTGTGTACCTGTGCGTAGGCCAGTAGTTTCTCAGTAGCCTCAGTGTCTCTGTTCCAGATGAGGTTTTCACACAGCAACAGCAGCTCTTTATCTATGTCGTCATAGACCGGCAGGTTCCCAGCATTCACTATGCCCATATCCATACCATCCTGGAGACGGGGAAGAGGACAGGCAGTGGGTGTGTGTTACAAGTAGAAAGCCCGTCTGGACTGGCATTTCCTCAGGGCCGTGAGGGGATATGGGGGTTTAACCGCCACATCTTTTTACCTTCACCTCTATGGACGGCGAGGTGTGTGGATGGATGGTTGTGCGTCAGTGTTTACCTTGATGGCGTGGTAGAGAAATGCTCCATGCATTGCTTCTCTGATGGCCTCCATCCCTCTGAAGGAGAAGGACAGGTTGGACAGACCTCCACTCACCCTGGCTCTTGGTAATGTCTCCTACACAAACACACACACACACGTTACATGTATGCATGTATGACGCGGTCCAAAATATTTTTTATGTCTTTAAGTTGTGATTATTGTGGCTGAAAATAACAAAGCATCTTTTAGGAAAAAGTATAATTTACAATTTGTGTGTACTAAAGTATTATTGTATACTTTATACTTCAGGTAGAAATCAGCAGTTCATTTCAGCAGCCACCAACAATAATTTGGAAATAATTAAAATAATTTCAAAAGTTTAGGAGCATTACCTTTTACTCTGCTAGGTAAGCATGACCTACTGTACATGGGTTCATGAGTGTCTCCGTTACAGTATCCAGTAGTAAAGTAGTCGTACGGACGAGTAGCGTGTCTGCGTAGCATGACCCCGTTTATACGCAAGTCTTTTAAATAAGGAGTGAGCACTCGACTGGATAACTGAGACTTGGATTATACTGCACGAGTTGTGTGAGAGTTTGTAAACATTTTGAGAAGTTTTTGACATTTTTAAACTCTGCCTCCATTTACTTCAATTCAACAAGACGTTTCTCTGTTTCTGGAGTCTTGGTTCAGCGTGGAGTCGCGCTAGAGCACAGGGTGAGTAATTGATATACAGATGGTCATTCTGTGGGTGAGGTATTTACTTTAAGGTACTTTGTTTTGCCCGGAATTCAGGTATAACTCAAACAACTGCCATAATCCAATGGTTACAGGTGTCCACGAATAAGAGAAGCCTAAATGTAGGAACGAAAGCTATTCAACCTTTCATTGCACATGCTTGCAAGGACTTTGAGGTTTTCCCAACGTCGAAATTTGAATGGATTTGACCTTGAAGAGCACCAGTCGTTCTACAGCTCATTGTTTGATCACCTTGATAACTTTGGTGGCTCGGATGAAGTAGATGGCGTAGTCGTTGTGTTCCTCCATGCCCGTACCGATGGTGAGGATGTTGGGGTCAAAAATGATGTCGTTGGGGTCAAATCCAACTTTGCCGACTAGCAGCTCGTAGGCCCGAGTGCAGATCTCCACTTTACGCTCTGCATCTGCGGCCTAGAGTGGAACAGCAGACATGTCAGCACATGTACGCGTGTCTTTGTGTGAGAGTGTGTGTTTGCCCCCCCTCCTCGCACCTGCCCCTCCTCATCGAAGGCCATGACCACCACAGCGGCTCCGTAGCGCTTCACAGTGGTAGCCCTGTGCAGGAACTCCTCCTCCCCTTCCTTCAGGCTGATGCTGTTGACTATACACTTCCCCTGACAGCATTTCAACCCAGCCTCGATCACTGAGAAGTTAGAGGAGTCGATACACAGAGGAACCTGGGGAGGAGACATTAACAGGTTCGTATGCTAAACTGGACATTTCCAGGAGAAAATATAGGGGGAAATAAAATGTAAGCACACAACTGACGATGATTGTTAAGGCTGTGAAAGCCCCAAGGTCAAAATGACATCTTATTAGAAAGGACAGATTTGAACACTGAAACAAGTTTGTATTCACTGCTCCCCCCCCCCCCCCACACACCAATCCTGATGCACAGGGATGCACTTTGGGCACCAATCCGAATGGACAAATAAGACAAAGGCCCGATGTTACACCCAACTGTTGTTGCTAGTTTGTGTACTGTTGATGGGAAAGAAGATTTGGGAGATGGCAGGGCCTGAGGACCCAGGGCTCCCATAGGTGAATCTCCCCAGACAGAAAAACGCTTCTCCAATTTGCAGAATATGCCATTTCTATAGCAATGCGTCAGTACAAGTGCGCCTGGCTATTATGGCTTTTAAAGGGAATGGGAGATGATACCCTGATCGCTTTAATTCATTTTAAGACCAAAATACAACCAGCTGCACCCAGATCATGCACTGTTTAACTCGCAAAAGTGCAGTTGGGCACGCTCTACATGCAGTCACGACCATGCACTTTGGATCATTTTAAACACAAGTGAGTTTGTGAAGCTGTGCTTTGAGCTGACTGCTAACATCAGCATGCTAACATGCTCACAATGACAATGCTAATATGCTATGTTTGCCAGGGATAATCTTTACCGTGCTCACTGTCTTAGTTTAGCATGTTAGCATGCTAACATTAGCAAATCAGCACGAAACACAAAGAACAGCTGATGGGAATGTCATCAGCTTGCAGGTATTTGGTCATAAACCAAACTATTGGAGAAATCTAAATTTGACCCCGACCAAAGTTGATACATTTCATCCTGAATGGACATTAATGTAGCTTTTAACTTTTGTGACAATCCATCCAGTAGCTGCTGAGATTTTTAAATTTAATTTATTATACTATATTGATCCCTTTAAGGGGGAAATTTGTCTCTGCATTTGACCCATCCCTGTATATAGGGAGCATGACAGGCGCCCGGGGAGCCAGGGGTTCAGTGTCTTGCTCAGGGACACTTCGACAAGTGACACGTCCCAGTCGAGCCAGGGGTTCAGTGTCTTGCTCAGGGACACTTCGACAAGTGACACGTCCCAGTCGAGGATCGAACCGTTGACCTTCCGGTCCCAGACAACCCTCTTAAGCCAGTGAGCCACGGTCTCCCCAAATTTCAGATATTTCCATCTGGATCAAAGTGTTGGACCCAGTGGATGTTCATTTCTCGAATATATTGTGTTGCAATATACCCAATATGGTGACATGGCACAAATATCGTTTTGAGAAATTGTATGTGTTCATTTCCACTGCCCTTACCCGACAGATGTCTGGCTCAGAAGCAATAAATTTACAAAATCGGGCCATAGCTGCTGGCCCCTCCAGCATCCCCTCATCCATGTTTATATCCAGGACCTGGGCTCCCATCTCCACCTGGGCCTTAGCAATGCTTAGAGCCTCCTGGACAACAAACAGGAACACACATACCGGATAAACTGTTGTACGCAAGCTAGAATTTCAGCTATGCTGAGGATTTGACCAAAATTTCTGACAAATGAAAAAAAATACTAATAATAATAAAAATAGTCGTCAAAATCTGTCTCACCTCATAGTGTCCTGCCATGATCAGCTTGGCAAACTTGCGTGACCCAGCCACGTTGCAGCGCTCGCCAATGTTAACAAAGTTGGTGTAAGGGCCGATCCTGAACGGCTCTAAACCTGGAAGAGACATTTTATCACGTTCACTTCTTTCTTCTTTTACAAACGGGGATTAAGAGATGGAAGGGGTTTTATTTAATATTATTTAAATGCCTGGACATTTAATAACTTTAAATCGGTTTGTTTGTTTAAAACACGTTTTGATGCAAGCCTGCTCGGGTTTTGAAGGGCTGTACAGGAAGTTCTCTAATAAAAGCCTGTATTCAAATAAGAGCCGGGGTGTGTTGCTAATGAATCTCTACTATGATTATGATTATACTAGAACTGTAATCACTATTTATATGTAAAATCGATCTCCTTTACGTATTGTTCCAATAGCTGTAAAGCTCCCGCGAATGAATCTCAAAGCTTCCCTCATATTTTCCATTTGAAAAGCCTGCTGGGAAAGAGAAAGTTTTTAATATGAAACAACTAAACAGGAAGTGTTACGTTTTCTTGACAGTGACTTAAGGTGCCCTGTGTAATCACTACACAGTGACAGACATGCTCCAAAGAAATGGATGTTAGCATGTCACCTCTTCACCTCTACTGGGTCCATACAATCGAAATTTAGAGCTATAAGTTGTAAAACAAAAGAGGAAAAAAAACACACAAACTGCTGACACTGACGACAAAAATACCAGTTGTTTTCTTGTTTGTGCCACTTTGGATTTATTCCAATAAACAAACTATCAAGCTACCGTACTCTCATAATGCCCGACAAGCCCTCGGGGCAGCTCTACTTCTTGGTCCTCTCATGTCGGACCAACTGGACGCTACAGTGACTCACTGTCACCTCCCGAGATACAATCATAGACTGTATTTAAGAAGTGGACGTAGTCTTCATGACGTCACCCATTGGTTTGTGGACTCGTACGGATCACCCCTCAATGTAAAATTTCATTTGTGATTTAAAAAAGTCAACAATAAAAGCAACACTAGTGGTTGCAGCAGTTTGTAAAATCACACATGTGAAGTGTGGATTAATTGCATTTCCCCCCCCCCTCACACGCCCACTTCACTATGAAGCTCGTTCCAGGCCTCTATGAAAAGGAAAAGACTGACGGCTCACTTCATCACGGCGAAGTGGAGATTTAAAGTCCGGTGCTGCAGACCCGCCCCCTCTGCGAGTCACACAGACACTGTGGCGCTACCCTTTCCCCACACAATGTAGATATTCTCATCTTTTTGAAAATAAATATCGTGGTTTTCATGGAAGACTATAGCCCAAAGTTCTTTGCTTTTAGTTTTCTTGAAGTTCTTTCATTAATAAATGGAAAGCAAAGTAATATTTGTCCACCCTCCCCCCCCCTTTTCTTTGCTGATCCAAAAAATGATCCGATCAGTGACTCAAAAACCGTGATCCGATCCGAACCGTGAGGTTTGTGATCCTACCAGCTTCTAATGAGTAGAGAAGTTAAGTGAACTGACTCACTATTTAAGAATTCACAGTATTTCAAGTCACCTGACCCACATGCTCTACTCACTAGTATTTTAGTATTTTATCAACCAGAACAAAAAGGGTTGTACTAGTTAAACGTCTCAGTGATAATAAGACACATATTACAGACTGCCTATATTCGGTTTGACAGCAGTCTTCACAGATGGCAACAGGTGGTTTGTAATACCTGACAGCAGCATGTAGTCTTGGTAGATATCAGCAGCAGGAACTCTTGGCTGACAGTGTTTGACTGCTTCAGATATGGCTCTGTATGAGGAAGGAGGAGGGGATCACTTTTAAACATTTTCAAAATCGCATGTTAGACTTTAAGTTTTCTTGTTAGAAAAAAGAGAGAGTGACCCGATGTGTGCTGGAGTGGTCCCACAACAGCCTCCCACAATATTCACTAGACCATCCGTAGCAAACTCCTGCAGGCAGACAAACACAAACAAACACCTCCATCAGGGTCGGCTTACTTTACTTAGCACATATTTCTTCATTTTAAATTCAGCGTTTATAAAACCAGGATGTTCTTCAGACTAATGTCTTTCTAGTTGTGGGTAGACAAAGAACAGCAGCACAATAATGTTCCACAAAGCAACACAAAGCCAACACACCAGGGAACTAAAAAAGAGATGATAAAAGCACATGATGATGTCCATGACCTTATACTTTTACAATCATTTAAAGTGAAGATCCAACATTTTGGGGAATATGTAGAACTGGACATATTCGTTCGTTGGGTTTCACGTTTCAACGTTTGGGATTCAGATATTCTTTGATTACTACCACAGGAGCTGTGGAGCACAGGAGCCCAAAGGAAAAAAAGGTATTTGCGTCAGCCCTAGAAATATGCTTATTGGCTTTCATTTTAAAAGCAAGATGAGAAAATGGATATCAATCTCATGTCGATGTGTTAAGTACAAAAGTGGATCAGGGTGGTGCCGGTTTCCTTATGTACAACATGATGTCATCGATACATCACCGCATATACACCACGCAAACAAAACTTTATAGTTACCTATAACCTATTTACCATCTGGGTCACCGTGATGATGTATAATATCTTAGCATCAAACGGCAGTTGTTACAATAAATAACTGAATAGAATGGAACCTTTAAATTGGAGGATGTTACTTCCGGAGTTTCGTCGTACCCTCCAAATGTGTTGGGAAGACCTAACAGGAAGAACAAAGATATGACATCTGTACATCATCCTGACACATGGGGCAACATAAATAAGGCTACAGGTCAATGCGTGCTACAGATGAAGAGAAAGAACAGCAGAATGTGTTAAAATGCACAAATCCAAACTAAACGTCACCGCAAGAAATACAGTCTGATTCAAACTCTGGTCCCTTGTGTGACTAGAGTTGGTGGATCATTGGATTGCATTATATTGAAAGCTGTTGGTAATATCCTGTCCCACTATGTATAGATGTCTGACAGGGTGGCCAAACATGTACCATGTTCTCTTTGATTCATAAGTTTAAATTTATAATGTATAGAAATGTATGGTTCAATTATGGAACTATACAAATAATTCCTTAAAAGGCTTTTGTGTTTTACTTTTGTTATTCAGTCTACTTCTGTTTCAACTTTGTGATTACTTTTTCATTTAAATATGTGTAAACTGTGCAAAACCTAAATAAATCAAGAAATATATTTAATGTAAGTGGCAAATTGAGTTAATATTTGATCAATACAAATACATTGTTAAAGTCAAATGTAATTTTACTCATACTTTAAGGCTTTTTCAACATTAATGACTTGAATTTATCACTGAACAAGTTAAGCTATGGGGTCAGGTACTCTAAGGACTTTGAGAAGGGGAACCCAAATCAAACAAAACCTTTATATATAACTGCTTATTTAGTTGCAAAATTTGGATTGAAGACCTGAATGTTTTGTCAAAATGTTACCACAAATCTCAAGGCTGTACTGTGCTGAAGATGTGATTAAGTTGTTTAGACTGAGTGAAGGTTACCTGCATTGGGATAACAGATAATGAAAGCTGTGGTGCTTTTTCCGATGGCCTCAATGAATGGCCTCATCTCTGTCGCCCCCAAGGCACAGTTCAGACCAATGCTGCAACACAGAGAGGGACAGAACCAGTAAGATGTATTAGGAGTAATGGGACAGAGTAGGGCTGGGCGGTATGACCAAAAATGCATATCACGGTATTTTGTAAGATTCTGGCGGTTTCACGGTATTTTTTCCCCGCGTTAAAGCATTAATTAATTAACGGCGAAAAGAAACGGCAGGCCAGCAAGCAGTGAACAGCTGTTTGTGTGGCGTGTCTTCCGTTCCGTCACTTCCTGTTTCCTTCACCTATATTCCCCTGGGTCCTAAGCCCCTCCATGGAAAGAAACGGGATTAGACCGTAGGATTTAGTTGTTAGTAGGTGTTCTTTAGGTTTATTTCGATCGATCGATAGATAGATCGATAGAATTTTATTATCAGAACAGTGAAGAAAAGGTTATCCTGAAAATGCACACTCCGGTACAGTAGGTGGCGGTATGCACTATGCAAGTTGGTTGCGATCCGCAAATGGAAGAAGAAGCCCCTTCATGTACAGCTTCTTATCACGTACATTTATAACAAATACCACACATATTACGGTAATCAGCGTTGCATATGTGTCTAACCTAAATACCGTTTGTTGTTCAGTCTTTGTTCATCCTGCATCGCTCTGCTCTGTTCTTTAATGTAACGTTACTGGAGCGACAGAGCCTCTCCCAGCTGTTAGCAGACTGTTGTTAGCGAGCTGTACCCAGCATGCAGTTCGGCGGGGAAATTTTATAAATGTACAATTATTAGTGCTACAAATTGTTTATGTGTCACAATGTGTTATGTGTTTCGGCTGTGCACCGGTATGACGGTATATGAAAAATTCATATCAAAGGGGAAATTAAAACCGGTATACCGCCCAGCCCTAGGACAGAGGTCTGTTATTATCAGAACTAATACAACAGAGTTTTGTATGTAGTACGTGTAGTTATGTGTGATGTACAGTAACTCACCATAGAGGTTTCATGTGGGATACACTCACTACAAAGGCTTCTCCTGTTTGGCCAGACAGAGTACGTCCACTCCGGTCAACGATGGTCCCTGAGATCTATACGTTCAGTGGGACAGGATGGCAAGACGGGCGTTTGAATAAGTCATCTAAACCCTGCCGAACACACTCATCCGTGTTTTAAATATTTAAAATGTCAGACTTCAAACACTCCACCCCATGCATGAACTGTTACCAGAGAGTATCAAAGAGATTATGAATAAAATATCAGTATAGACATACAAATACAGGTTTCCTTTCGTAGCTCTTCTCAAACAGCAGGTCGATGGCAAACAAGGCAGCCTGTAGAGGGAAACGTACAACGGCAGAGACATCAGTTCCTGTATATACTGTCCAACATCAGGTTATTTATATAGAAATACACACACACCGGTGCTCGCGGCGTCGTGGATTACGTCTGCTATTGACACATCACAAATAGGTTTTGTGACACGGGGCTTTGATAATATGACGTTTGAAACTTAATTAAAAAAATCGAATTGGAGCTTTGAATATAGAAAAAAAGAGATTTGGTACAGCCTTATTGAAATGTGCTCAATTGTAAGAATTTATATATTCATTTGAAAGTTATTACTAACTAAACCCCTTTCAACTGCTGCTCTCTACCTCTGTAGGGCAGAATTAAATCGTACAACAAGAGTCACTTTAGTTGACATGGTTAAACCAATCAGATGAGAGATACCTTGGCGTTGGCAGTATCAAAGATGGTTTCAACCAGAAGGATGTCTGCTCCTCCATCTAATAACCCTCTGACCTGCTCCGAGTACGCTTCTACGAGCTCATCAAATGCTGGGGAAAGCACGTACACATAACACACATTACATACTGGACATTACATTGCTATGGAACTCATTTGCATATTGGTGTCATTTTTTCCCAGCACACATTTTGACTTGCAGTAGGAAAAGCACAGGAGTTACGAACAACAACAATGGCTAGGTTCTCTGCGAGTGTAACAGTGAGCCAGCATGAACGATACAAACTGAACGTGCTGTGGTTACTTAATACAAAGTTAAATGTTAGACCTTATAAATCTCGTCTACTGAGTGGTTCTTTGTTTCCAGGCTGGACATGCATCTATAACCCCTCGTTTCCAATCTTTCAGTCACTTTACCGTGTCTAAAAACGCAGATCAAAACTAAAAATGTTTGGGCATCTTACTGATGTTCCTGAAGTCAGGTCTCTCCACAGACGGGGACACAGACAGGGTCTTATTGGTGGGACCCACTGCCCCGGCCACGTAGCGTTTACAACCTGAGAACACACACACAGATCACATTACATTACAGTCATTTAACAGACGCTTTTATCCAAATACAATTCAGATTCTATCATACTGTAGGCACAGCTACAGGAGCAATTTTTGGGGTTAAGTGTCTTGCTCAAGGACACATCGACATGCGACTTGCGGAGCCAGAGCCAGGGATCGAACCGCCGACCCTCTGATTGAAAGACGGCCCATTTAGCCACCGTCGTCCAGCAGTACATCACGGCTGATGTTACACACATGAGGAAATCCCCGGGACTCGGGGGTTGTAGTTTATCTACCGATAGCGACGTGCCGCTGCAATGCTTAAAGTTCAGCTGACCAGTTTGTTTGGCGACATCGTCGGCCGCCCTCCTCGCCAGCTCTGCAGACTCCCTGTTGAGACGATAGGCCTGCATGACAAACATACAGCGCACGTTGACATTTAAAAGCAAGAAACAAGCTTGTGACTATGTCATATTTGTATGATTATATGGTAGGGTCGTGTATTGGTCAGAATCTGATGATATGATAGGTATCATGATACGGTGGTTATTATTCAATATCGTGCGATACTCTATTGAATCTTTTTACTTTGCCTTTATTTAATCAATTGTCATTTTCAATGACGACCCAAGTCAAGTCCATACGAGACATTAGAACAGAGATACAACTATGAAACAACAGACCAAATTAAAAGTAAGGCAATTTAATGGGACTTACTTTAACTGCTTCTAGGAAATGCGTCATAGTGTCAAGAACAAACCAGCCTATGAATACAATCAGAGTATAATAATGTCTTCTTCTTTATGCAATCAGCACAGGGAGATCTGCATTTATCACAGTCACTGTAACATTAAACATCGCAGCACTACTTTCTGTGCAGTCTGAGCCGCTCTCTGCTACCAATCATTGCATGTAAATTATTAATTAAAAATCTATATTTCTTTGAGAATTGATGCATCACAAAACATGATATCGTGACACAAGTGTATCAAAATTCTTACACCTCTATTATATGTGACTTGAAACAGCCATTTATCTTGTCACTGGGGAACTGTGTGTAAAAATCCCAAAGCAAAGGAACAATACAGAATATAGAGTATCATTTACAAATACTTAAATTTCGTGGGTTATGACCCTTTAAGGCCAAAATAAATACAGGGTTTGCAAACTGACACTACCAGCTGCTTGCTGAGTGCAGGGAGTATGTTGTAGCTTCTGGTGGAGATAAGAGCAAGGTCACAGAACTAGGTGAAGAGTGCACAGACGCATGTAGTGCACGGCCTTATGATTGCCACCATGCAGGAAAACAAAGACAAAATTGCAGAACTTGATATTAAAAACTGTAACGGATGGAATGTGGTGGAATTTGCCAAAATGTGGACGCCATGCATGATTGATCCACAGTGGTCAATAGTGTCTGCCACAATACCATGTGTTCCAGTCCATAGTCTGCCTGGGCCACAGAGGTGCTGCTGAATGTGTTGGTCTCTATGATGTCAGCCCCGGCCAGCAGGTAGTCCTATAAACACAGAGAGCACAGGTCTGGACGTGGTAGACAGCAGTTCACAGTGAGGTCTGTGGATTATGCACAAGACCTGTTGAGTTTGTCAAATGTTATTCTGCACAAACTAGATTCTTTTTCACTATATTTGTACTGGGTTGGTGTCAGAAAACAACAACACGTAATACTGAAATGTACTACATGGTTGATATCATTAAGGTAAGTGAACCACAGTGCTCTGGGTGAGCGGGCCCTTTGTGTTTTCCCTGAATGAATGTACCTTGTGTATTTGGAGAATGATATCGGGCTGTGTGATGCTGAGAAGGTCGTTGTTGCCCTTCAGTGGAAGAGGGTGCTCCTTAAACTCCTCCCCCTTGAAATCTTCCTCTTCGAGTTGATGCTGCTGGATCATGGTTCCCATACCACCGTCCAGAACCATGATCCTTTGCTGCAGCACTGCCTTCAGCTCGGACTCTAACGGACATTGGCATCCTGGAACGAAAAGAGAATTCATATTCATCAGGGATTTTTACAGTTGAACACAAAAAATCTTATCGTCTTGAACCGTCTCGTTCAGAGCGAAAAACATCAAGAATATCAAGTCTTTGCGATGTAGAGAAGAGCCAGTACAAAAAACTAACGCAGCGATGTTCTCCGAAGTCATTGGAGTCCGATATGACGAACTAAGGCAACACGTACAACACGCAATATTTACCAGAACAGCGGAAGAAACACGTATACGTCAAACTCTCACCGTGTAAATTACCTCAAGCAGTCATTTTATTCAAATGACAAGTTGTTTCTTGTGTCGGAGTCATGATCACTTGACAAATTATTCAGTACTTTATCACATCCTGAAGTTTACGATGTCAGACTTTTTCAGTATAGAAGAAAGTTTGGTTTAACTGTCAGGAGTCATACTCTGGACGATAGTAACAGATGTCTCCTTCGTCACTCTACACAAATAACAAGTGCTTCTTTAGCTCCGCCGCTATTTAAAGCATTTATTAAAACATGTGTATGTCATATTTCACCAACAGAAAATGCAGAGAGCAAAGAAGTGTGTACTGAGAGGATCATAAATATATAATCAGGTCAAGATCATTCTTGGTGAGTTGCCTATAGATCTATATGAGAAGTGGCATATAGCTATGTAGGTACAATATCAAATCTGAAGTACAGGTAAGTGTGTAAGGTAAATGCAGTTTCTTCGTGATCATGTCCACGATATCTGCACGTAATGTCCCATTATGTTCCGTAAATCGGAAAAAAAAGAGCACAGAAGAATGATTTAGGTATAGCCTTGGATATGATGAAAACATAAACTTGAGGCTTTGGAAAGACTTCAGACTGGATGTTTGAGACCAATGTCAACATTTGAGAAATAATCCATCAGGCGATATTTGAACCCTTAACCAGAACAGCTTGATCCCTTATATTCTTACGAAAGGATACCAGGATAGGAGTAGATTGGATATGGACAAACTGTGTGATGGAGGCAAAAGATCTGTGATAAGTAAATATGGTCTGATGCACTGGGCCAGCTGATTGATGGGCTCACATCCACAGGCTGCGATGACTACAGGGATTTCATCAACTGCTGTATAGACTTGCACTGATTGAATGACATACATACCGATATGAATTAAAAGATGTTGCATATTAAATATATAAAACAGGAAAAAAAATTGACAGCATAATAAATTATTCCCATTATGAATGAAATTATGAACAGAGAAATACACTTTTTGATTTCCAGACCCTTGTCCTGAACAGCTGTTTGTGTGTTATGTTGTCTTTCTGGCCAGATTAACATCTCTGCGTTACACCGTTTCATTTATACAATGATGTACGTATATACATGTATAAAACTATTCTGGAATAAATGTTCTCTCATAGCAAACTCTACACAAAATTAAAGCTGCGAGCAGCGATGAACGGGCCCTCGCAATCTGCAGCGCGTCGGGGGTGGCGGCGGGACTCCGGCCTGCGCCTCCGAGATCGTCCGCGACCGAGACGTTTTCAGTCCCGCGTGGACCGCCTGATGCTGGAAATGATGCTTTGCAAATAGTCTGATGCTTCCTGTATCCTCTGCCTAGCGCTACAGAATGTGTGCAAACATGCATCATGTGTCAAATGTAAACCACATGGTGTAAAAGTCATGTAAATCGGAGGTGTTTATCACAAAACGCAGATTTCCTTTGGCCAGCAGGTGGCGCTGTGAGTATTAGGGGAAATTAGCTTGTAGACGTCCTCAGGCCATGAGTGTTATCAAGCATGTGAAGTTTGAGACCGTTTGGAACAAGTCCAGCTGAGTTACATCAGCTTTTTTCATGGGGAATCACGTAAAGTAGCCGCCCGCTACGGCTAAACGATTCCGTCAAACGTAAAGCTTTTGATAACTTTTAATCACAACGGTCTTGACATGGTACTGAGAAAATTTAAAGTTGATCTGATGAAGTCCCTAGGAGGAGTTCGTTAAAGTATAGCGACTAGAAATAAGCCAAATTCTATGGAAAAATGACAAAAATGAAGATTGCCGACTTCCGGTAGGGTTTAGAGCATGGTCCCAAGAGACTTATATTTAAGTCTCCATATGATACATGTGCCTATCAAGTTTCATACATGTAGCTCACATGTAGCGCTGGGGCTGCTCTTTTGAAATATTGTAGGGGGCGCTATAGAGGCAATCTAAAACGGACGATTAAAAGAAATCATAGAAAATATTTCTTCCAATGACCTTTGACACATGTACAAATTTGCATGAGTTTGAGCATCCCATGTCACTAAACCATCAGCTTCCTTTTTCATGGCGAACAATGCGTTGCCACGGCAACAGCGTTGTACGAAAATGCACAATATTCATGATAATGCATCATCAATGTCTTAAGGCTATCCTTACCAAATTTGACACTCATCAGGTCACCTGGCTAGGACTAAAGAAAAGTATAAAATATGACATTTCCTTTAGCCAGTAGGCGGCGCTATGAGTTATTGAATTTTTTTCAATTGAAATATGTTCAAGCTTGAAGTAGCATCATGCATAAGAAGTTTTATGCGGATTGGATAATGTACCTTGGAGTTATAACAACTTATAAGAATTTATTTTTTCAAAAACAATGAGGCAAAATGGTCGCCACGCCACGTCAAGGTTCTTCGATGAAAGCGCGTGATTTTGATAACTTTTAATCACAAAGGTCTTAAGAGCATCCTGACCAAAGTAGAAGTTGATCGCTTAAAATCTCTAGGAGTTTGTTAGAGTACGAAAGCTAAAATCGGCAAAAAGTGACAAAAAGCACAACTTCGTGGGTTTCCTGTAGCGCCCCCTAGTGGTTGAATGCAAAACAATTCCCAGGGTATGTTACAGGATGCGATGTGCACATATGCTGCAAATTTTGTAATTTTAGGACAAACGGTTGAGAAGTTATGTGTATTGATATTAAGCCATGCCTCTAAGAAGTTTATTGGTCCATAACTTGTAAACGCTAAGAGTTATCAGAAAGCTTTTGATAAATTTTGATGATCTAAATCCAATAATGATCCACTGCAGATTTGATAGCAATCGGACCCAGCATGTAGGAGGAGCTTGCAAAAATGTGTTTTTCACTCAATTCAAAATGGCGGAAAATGTAAGTAGGCGGAGCTTAGGGGTCTGATTGGCTTTTTTGTAGATCTAGCTCAAGTGGACATGTGTGTCAAATTTCAAGTCAATCGGACAAACTGACCGAGGGGCCTCGCCGGTCCGAACTGTAGGGGGCGCTAGAGAGCCATTTTTTTTTACACACAAATATGCAAATTTTGGCAGCAGAGTTTCTACACCAGACCTGACAGGTGTGCAAAATTGGTGAGTTTTCATGGATGGCAAGTACCCCTACAAGCTCCATCCCCACAAAAATAAAAAGCAGAATAATAATAACCCCTAGAGTTTCAATAGGGCCTCGCTGGCCCGACGTTGTCGGTTGCTCGGGCCCAAATAAACTGTCGCATCCGGTTACAGTCCATGTCAAAGTTAGCTCGTGTAACTTGTCGCCTCCGCCCCACTCACGGACACCCACGTGTCACAAGTGGACAGCGGTGAGTTCAATAAGATACGTACACAGAGCTAGCATTGCAGGCTAACAGCTAACCGTTAACCATACAGTCCACGCTGGTAACTGTAGGAAAGCCACCGCTGTGTATTTACCCGCTTCTGAAGAGCGTTGAATGACATTAGTCGGACCCATCTTGTGGAGAGCACGCCTTGAAAACAGCCCTACGGTCCGTCTGCTGACCAAGGAGTTAATATTTGCAGCTTAAACCTTTCACAACCAACCGGCTCTTCTGCTTCAGGCTCATCAGCAGCGCGAGGTTGCTTGAGGTCCGCCCGCAACAACATCTACACTTCCGGCCAGAGTCCTTCACAATAAGAGCTTCACCACAACTCAAATCATTTTCTCACCTACAACCCAGCAATAACGTAAAAAATTCACATTCACGGCATTTGAACATTTTGCTTCAAAAGCTGTATTTATCATAATTCAAAACCGCTGGGTTCTATAATTGAAGAGAATAACACGTGTTGCTGTAGTGGCGCTGGCCACTACTTCTTTCCATCAGCAGAGAGCTAGAAGCAGTGACAACTAACCCGCTGCAGTGATTACACGAACAAAGAGTTAAGCTCCTCCTAATGGTCTCCTGCAGGTGTTAAAAGAAATGACCTGTGTGTCCCACAACAACACAGAGCACAGAGAAAAACCTCACACTAGATATTAGAAATGTCAACACACTGTGATGTTATAACAAACATTTTTCTTCACAATGTGTAATGGTAAACCTCTGATTAATGCTGAATTGTCTCGATACTTAAAACACCTGTATATACTGTATATAAGAAGTATTAGGCACTCCTTTTGTCAGACAATCAAATCAAATCAAAGAGACACTGAAAAGCTGCTCTCATTGTATAGAGATGACAATAAACACACTCACACACGTTTATTCACACACAGCCACATAGAGAACATGTATTTTTGTCCTGTTGGTTTGTTTGTCTGGTGTTTAACAGACTTTAAAGTGATTTTCGATGTGATAGCACCACCACGTGGCTGATTACGTAGTACTTTATATTCTGACTGATAATTCCTGAAACATGAGGTCTAACATCTAACTTTGCTTTTCCTGGATTCCTTTGTTAATAATAAATCCCAAACAGGTTTTCTGTTATGTAAACTTCTCACTGTACAACACATTTTTATAATCTCACGAGAGAAAAATCGACATCAGAAGCACTGCAGAGGACTATTTCGTCAAAATAAAAGACCCTCACAGATTCTGTCCAGTTCACAGGATTTTAAGGATGTGAACTTTATTTATTTAACACCTGCAAGAAGAACTGCAATGCTAGGACAATAACAATAAGCATGAATTTAAAAACAAGTTCCAGTGAAGCCAAGTGAACCAGGGTCTTAATAAGAAAGTAACTGAAATGTCTCTGTATTATCTCCTTCCTGTCTGCTTGTGTGGCAGGTGGACGGACACATCCCACTGCAGCAACACATTCATGTTAGAATGAGGCTGAGACTAGTAGAGGAGAAGAAACATGACTAATTCATTAAATAACACAGTGCATCTGGTCCTTGTGCATAAATGTATGTTACAATTCTAATGCCACTGTGATGTCCATATCAAATCAAACAAACATCACATAATTCATATAGCAATAATTACATTATTACTATATGAATTGCATGTGATGTTCAAGCTGTTGGTTTAGAGATCTGACATATTTGTATCTGCAACAGAGGGAGGTCCTTTCTTTGTCTGTTTGTAACTTGTATGATCCATAGCTCTCTAAGAATTCACATAGTGGTGTGTTAATATTTATTCCTTTATTCAAAAAATGGATACACGGTAACTGTTCCCTCGTGTTGCTGTGAACCTGGAGGCAGCAGGTGCATGAACGTGATCCGTCTGGGCCCTGTGACTCTTGGAGGATGCAGCAGGGTGGACGTCCAGCTCTCTCGTGTATCAGTCACATGTCAGATATTAAAGGTGTGGTAGCAGTCCTCCACCACCTGACGGTGCATCAGAGCAAAACACAGCAGGAAGAGATTTACAAACTGAGCGGAATAAAGGAAGGAAGAAGAGCTGGAGGAGATGATGGACCTCCATGACAGCAGATGCACGTACCTGATGAATTAGTGGAAGAACCTTCAATGACTTCTTATCATATCATCATCATATCTAAAGGAGGTAACTGTGGTGATTGAGCCCACTGATGAAAGTATTGATATATTTGCAGTATTATGAACTCGGTGTCTGTGGTGATATTCCATGATTACAATAGAAACTTAAATCTACCAGGACTCAAATGTTAGGATGACACTTTGATTCAACTAAAACTTTGGCTATGTAATGTAAAGATTAAGACAATCTAAACATATGATGTACAACCTACTAAGTCAAAATCATAACATAAATCAGCCTTTTTTACATAAAAATATGAAAGTAAAATGAAAGGTCAATCCCATAATTGTGACTTTAAAAGTCAATGTTTTGACAGAATATGGATATTCTGTCAAATGGACCATGATGGTGTATGTCTCTGCTTGATGCTGCCATAGCTACCAGTCATAACTCAAAGGAACTGACATTCATTCCTTCACTGGTTCGTTCAGCACTCGTTCATCTGTTCGGGATGAGAATCAGTGAGATTGGGCTCTTTAGTGCAGTACGGATACACGAAGGAGACCGTTGACTCAGAACCTGGACTGAGAGGAACAGGTTGTAGCTGTAGAAGAGGAGCAGCGTGTCGCTGGGCGCAGGTGCACATGATACACACTGAAGGAACCCTTGAAGGAGCCGAGGTCTTCTGAAGCTTCCACCGTGTAAGTAAGGAACACTTTGTTTTATTCCTTCATCAGCACTACAGAGAGCATGTTAACTTTATATTACTGGAACATCCTGAGCTTCATAAAGACGGACTAGTGAGGTGACATAACATCTCCATGACACGGTGAGATCATAAGAATCACCAACCGTCAGGACGAGTGACCCAATGCTCCAACATACAGGTACATCATTTTGTTGACAGGAAGACAGTTTCTACAATTCAATTTTCCTTCAAAGTTCAATTTTCCTTTTCAGCTGATGTTTAATATCAATACATCTAGAAAAATACATTTAAAACATTTCTGCCAGAGTTATGACGGCATGTCAACAGTCCAAAGAGCAGACCACGCATGTCAGTCTGCAGAGTCCAGATCCAGTGAGTTAGTCGTCCTGGGGCGCCCCCTTCAGACTGGACCTGTGCTTCTTCTGGTCCGCCTGGCCCATAGCGCGGTACAGTTTTTTCCGTGCCTCCTTCTGTCTCTTCAGCTTGGCCTCCTCCAGCTTTTCCTTTTGCTGCAGGAACTCCTTGTGTTTGGCGTGCTGCATCGTGTGGGCTTTCTTCCTCTTGTAGTTGTGGACCGTGCTCAGAGCGTGGAGCAGGGCCACCACCTAAAGGAACGGGACGAGAAGAGTGACGCTGAGAGACGAAGCCATGTTTCACTACAGGGAGTAGTCCTGATCAGTTACGGTACCATTTTAATGGTGAGATATGCACACACTGGACTCGTTCTGGTGTCAGACCAGAACAAATCAGTCACAAACACTCCGTCCTAACTACGGATGGAGCGGCCACACTGAGCCTGTAGAGTCTGCTTCTGCTCACCTTCTTCTCGTGGGGCTCTCTGATCACACTGGGCCTCCTCAGATCTCTGGGCGTCTTTCCTTTGGGTTGCTGCTGTTTGGGTTTGCTCTTGAAGGGCAGGGCCTTCTGGAGCTCCTTGGGGATGTGGAGGCGGTTGAAGTGCCTTGGGGCTCGGACCACCGGCTGGAAGGAAAAATAATGGATATGCACACATCAAGTGAGCATTTCTATTCTGCGTTAAGTACAGCTCTACAGATGTCAAGCCAGCCAGCACTAGGCCTGTCATGATAGCGACTCATGTTGGAGGACACACTGCCGCAGAAATAGTTGCGATTATTTTCAATAAGAGACAAAAAAAAGGCAAAAACATTCTTATTAAAGTGTACACTGAAACTGATCAGGAGTCTACTCCACCTTGTACAGAGAGTCCGCGTTGGGTTTGTTGCGGATGCCCAGGTCGTGTTTGAGCTGCCCCAGGGTCCTCATGCCCGCCCAGCCGTCCTTCTGACCGGCGGGCAGCAGCAGAGATGTGACGGGGTTGTAGAGCTGAGGAACGGACACCGGAAACCAGGAGCGCAGGAACACGACGTCTGCACAACAACAGAACACACAGAAACAAACACAGAGGAGTCCGTTCAGAAGCAATACGTCGCTGTGTGATGTGTCCTTACACTTCTGCATAATGACCATGAAATAAAGACAATCACGCTGGAGATGATAAGTAACTTTACTTCATGTAAGCTTTACTGCATGGTCGGCAAAATAACAACATAACAGACACTCACCACTCATGAGCAGACGGTCCTCAAACGTGGCTCTGTAGGCTCCTGTTGGAGTAGACAGCGCCTTCTTGATCTGACCTCTGACCCCAGATACTGTTCGCACGGAAGCGCCTTCGAATTTCGCCACCTCCAGCACGGTGTTGAACATGCCCTGTGAGACGGAGGGAGGAGTCAACCACAACACATCAGCAGCAGGATTCAGATCATAGAACTGCTCCTTCACATTGGCCTCTGCACTGGAGCAGAAAGCAGTCGTGTGGAATGCGTTTCATTTATCAAGTATGTTTGTATTGTCACATGTCATTTTTTTGGTTCTGTTAATCCAAGACAAGTTTCTCTTCTGGCCTCTTTAGTTATGAAGAATAAAAACCATGGATGTGTGTTAGCAAGAATGTGCCGATACGTATCATGATACAGGGGTTAGGGTTCAATATACTGTGATATACACCGAGGCGATGTACTGTGGGTTTAAGAAATGAAATGTTATGAAAAGCATCATAGTATAAAGAACACACACTATGCATACAATCTGAGAAATAGTTTTTAGAAAACCTTTTTATGCAATCTGAACAATGTGTAACATCATGGCACTACTTTCTGTGGCATCTGACCAGAGGAATTAACATCTGATTTGATCAGTAGAATAATAAAATGAATAGCTTGGATTGCAGGATTCTTTAGGTCAACATGATATCTAGGGTTAAAAGTCCCCCACCTTAATGAAGGAGGTGTTCTTGAAGATCTTGTAGGGGTAGCCGATGAGCTTGAGCTTCTTCACTACAGTCACTGACTTATCCAGGTCCAGGATCACTCCTGTGGCTGCAATACGGAAATTAGCCTGCAGAAAGAAAAGGGGAATTCATTGTTCAGCTTATAATAACTGAATAATCACAATGACCATAGCCCCCAAAAACATTCAAAGCAGATATTTAAATAAAATCTACATTTTTTAATGATTTGAATTTTGTGTTTTTATGCAAATAACCTCTATAGATGACAAGGATAACATTCATTATTATTTAATTAATTCATTAATTAATGAATTAATGAATTAATGAATGAATTAATGAATTAATTAATGAATTAATTAATGAATTAATTAATGAATTAATGAATGAATTAATGAATTAATTATTGAATTAATTATTTAATTAATGAATTAATTATTTAATTAATGAATTATTTAATGAATTAATTAATGAATTAATGAATTAATGAATGAATTAATGAATTAATTAATGAATTAATTAATGAATTAATTAATGAATTAATTAATGAATTAATGAATTAATTAATTAATAGGCCTAAACTTTCCATTTCGGAGAAGTAAGTTTGGCTTTTGGGGAAGTAAAGCGTGTAAGCGTGTTGCCCGGAGGCCCAGTGGCCCAGTGGTGGCTGTCGAGGCTCCTGGTTGTTTGTAGGGCTTCTGCTTTATTGACAGAAGGGTTTCTCAGCAGTCTCCAGATCAGAATGCTCGCCATCTAATCACCGATGCTAATCTCCAAATGTCAGAAGTTCTTGATACCAAGTCACAGCATGGAGTGTTCTGTGGTGTTCCTCCAGGTCTTGGAGTCTTCATGTAGTATCTTGCAGTGATTTTTGACCATTTGTAATCAAAACTTATTGAAATAGTCAAATGTATAACCAACTGTGTAGAAAATGGAATCAACCTAAAAACTGCAGAAACTTATGAGAACTAATTGAGTCAATATTAAAAAAGGGGGGGGGGGGGGGTGGAAGAGGTTAATGCCTTATTCCATTTAGCCGAGGTTTTTTTCCGAGTTGGAGTCACACAAGAGTTCCATTTTACAAACAACAAATAGTATTTTTACCATTTTACCATCAGGGTAACTGAACCAGCTGTTGGCAGTGATCCAGACCGCTGTGACCAGAGTGAGTCAGTGCTTACCTTAGCTCCTGCTACTGTCTGCACAGCCAGGAAGCCGGTTCCCTGTGGTGTCACAGGACCTTCAGGGAGACAGAATACCGGTTATTGTCATCACATACAGAAATCTAGGAGACGTTTTTACCATCGTTTGTTCATACCATTACATTTTTTTTACTTCTAAGATATATTTAAACTAATATAGTTGTAATATTTCTGTCTGTTTCTGTCCTGATAACGGTTGGTGTCCCTGGTAGATCTTTCTATATCAGAATGTTGTCAAACCAAACCTGATCTTGAAATCAATGAAGCAGCAGAAGACTCTAGTTAAAGCTACTACCAGGAACTTTCACTTAGTGTTGATTTTGGTGGTCTGTGTTACGAAAGTGGTAGTGTCTACAAGCGCCAGAGTCCTCTACAAAACCTCATCCAACTGCAGCAGGGGCTGCCAGTCTGCCCCGCTCAGTCCTGGTTCTCCCGTGCCCCCCTTCCCTCCACTGTTGTGGACTGGTGCTGCCCAGTCCCCGCTGGAGTCTGAGCGGAAACAGCTTCTGGTGAACCTGCATGATTCTGTCTGTTCAGACTCGGTGGCACCGACGACGAGCATTCAGAACAACTATATAGAAGTATTTTCTCTCCGATGGTCTCGTTTACTCATGTAGGTCATAAAGAGGCATCAGTATTACATTGAGACCGTTTCCTAACTAGTATAAAGTTCCTCGCAGCAACTTTAAGGCCTGCATCTACATACAGGAAGTATTAGCAGCACACACAAACTGCCTAATGATGCATATCAGACATCTTCAGATGAACATCAACCATTCACAGAGCGGTATTTACTCAGAACACATCTTAGCAGAGGTCCTACTATGTCACGATATGGAGCTGTATCAGCACAAAGACATGTAGAGGGGGTTGTCAGCCATCAATAGCACTTCTAAAGTATGAACAGAAATATAAATGGATATTTTCAGCCTTAATCACTTTATCCTGTGCATGTAAACACAGCCATTCAGGAAAGAAGAAACAACAATCGGTCACCGACTGTACACCAGCACTGCAGCGTGCAGCGTGCTCCAACGCCGTCTTACCCCAGATGGAGGCTCCACAGTGCATGTGCTGCGGGGTGTATTTGAGCAGGCGGTGGCGTCCGTTGTGGTCCTCAATGTGGTACAGCGGGATGGTCTGGAAGCGCCGCCAGCCTAGTGACAGGATGAGGGGGTCCCGCGTCTTCAGGATGCGGTTATACCAGCGGTGTTTCTTCAGCCGCATCTGACACACACACAGACTTAATGTATGCTCACCCTTATCAAGTGTGATCAAGAAGACCTCAGGGGGCTATAGCATGAACGGGCTGATAAATAAATGAATACAAATATACACTACTTGTAGTGTTACTTACAGTTCAGGTGTTGTGTAGTGTGGTTGCATGAGGTACTCGTCCATAGTCGGTGTGTTACTACAGTAGATGACAGCAGCATCAGCACAGGAGCAGAGCAGTGTACTGCTGTGGACCTGTTGCACCTCATAAAAGCTTCGTGCTCACTGCATATGATGCGTGTTCAATATTTCACCGGTTCATCTCGCAGAGATCTCTGCCGGTTGAATTGATCTGTGCTCTCATCAACGCCACCAGACGCTGGTGAAATCACTATTGTTGACTTTGGTGAATTCAGACGAACAAAAGTCACACAACAAATGCACCGATGGAGGGTTAGGGTTAGAGTCCCCGAGGGGCCGCAGTAGACCAGAGACTCCTGTGTTCTGCTTTTTCAATGGGGTATGGTGACTTTTAGCAAAAGCATAGACAACGGCCTCAGTTCCCCATCAGAGAGGGCCGTCTGTCTGCAAAGTAATACTCTAAATAAAGCGTACACTGGTATCGATCTAAAATAGGTCCCCAGCAGTACATTGCTCTGCTCCCGTGCTGATGCTCCAAACTCCACCTACTGGGGACAAGTAGCTCATACAACCCCACTGCAAAACATGTCAACTATCCACTAACATCCACTTTAACATCAATTGAAATGAACACATGTTCATGGTCTGAATGAAGGGGGAATGTGAGGTCACTTGATAGGGGTGAGGGAGTACCTCGACAACAAAGGTTCAGGTAACCAGTGTTCATTTGCAGTAGCAACTGATTCAAAGTACTACTGGTAGATGTGACGTGCACTAAGCTGATGTAGAGCCTGATTAGACTTACGTCCAAGTCACATCTGTGTATAAACATTACTGATTGACACTGGATGAAAATACACAGGATGCTAATCAGTTCTCCCTAATTGTGCCGTTTCCATGTGAGCTGTGGGTGTGACGCACAGCTCACATCCTCTGCACACGCAGCCACTTGAATATATTATCATGGAGTCCAGCATCTCCTCTCCAATTATATGGTGAAATGAATAACATCATTAACAGGATTGCCATCTAAAATGCATCATCTGTATATCTTAAATCTGAATTACAGGACATCCAGGGACTATACGCAGTCATGAGCAGAAGCAGACGTACCTGCAGGTATCCTACGTTGCCCTCAGCCGAGCCCAGACCTCCGAGGATGATGGGATAGTGGGGATCAAAGTTGGTGACAAACTCGCAGGGAAGGGAGGAGATTTCTAATCGGACGTACATTCCTGGTCGGAAGCCTTCGTACTGCACTCTGGTCTCGTCGTCCACATCCTCGAACTCTGCCCTGTTCAGCTGAGGACAGGAGGTGGAAACAAGCCGGGGCCGTATGAATTACCAATGCTACTATTAATGTTTCACCATTCATCCTTCTGAGGACTTTCTGTGTCATGAATGAGTTGGAGCAGCCGCTGTGTATGGCACAACGTGTGAGGTACCTCGGCCTGCTTCTGCATCTCCTCCTTCAGGTCATCAAAGTAAGTGGCGTCTCCGTCATCGTACTCTGAATTGAATCTCTCCTTCAGCCTCTGTTTCTTCTCCAGACGCTTGTTCTTCTGGACCTCATCGTCGTCCACCTTCACCACACTCGCTTCGTGAACATCATCATCATCATCATCGTCGTCATTTTCACTTTTCTGCTGATCACAAGTTATACAAGATAAAACATCATCCTCCTGACAATTGGTCAAATGTAAAAGCTTTAAAGCACATAAAGTCACAGAAAATAAGAAGTCAAATATTCTGTGTTTGGGACCCATTCAGCACTTCAAATGATCCGATGAAGGTATAGAGAAGAGCAACACACACAGCTCTTTAGTTCACCCACACACACACACTCACAGCTCTTTAGTTCACACACACA